CAATATGAGTATCTAGAAATCCTTGATTGAAAGCCATAATGCAACATGTAAGTGATGGATCACTATTAAACAGCATATGAATGCCGCTGCTTCCTTGTAAACCACGTCTCTTGATGACAAGCTCGTTGAAATACTGAGGACTATAATCTCGAGTAAATGAACTTTCACAATGAAATTTATTTGTCTTTTTCATAATCCAAAGACGTCGAGGGTGTGGGTGTGCGTGTGGATGTAGATGAATAGATCATTAAAATCTACACCCACAGCTACATTCATTCACACCCAAGATTCCGGTGCGCACTCATTGATCTAAAGTTATTCATAGAAACAAAAACAAATCTAGATTAAAATTGTGTTAGACTAACTACATAGTCATTTTGATTTAAATTTTAAACTTAGTTTACTATTTGCTAACTGACTTGTATTTAACTTATGTGTCTTGCAAATGCATTTATCTAATAGAAGATTCTATATGTTATTTTTTCACAGAAAACATTTCAAAGCACAACAAAATAAGAGAAAAGTATTTACCAGTATAATTCTCAAATGTAGGAAATAACAATTTATTCGTCATATCTTTTTTAAAAGTCTACAAAGGAAAAACAAATCAAAGACTAAAATCATAGTCTTATTATAAAATGATTTACACTTGTTGTTAGTATTCCTTCAATATTATTTCAATAATTTTTTAAATGAAATAAAGTCACTTGAATAGATTAGTTAGGAAAAAATATACATATTTATTTTTCGATAATTACTTCTCAGCACGATCTAATCGTTCATATTCTTGTTTTAGGTAGTTTCCTAATTTTTCATTTGAAGGACTTTCAGTATTTAATGAGTTACATGTGTTATTGATATAAATGATCCATTATGAATAAGAACTGATTTGATAATAATAAAGAAAAATATTTGTATTTTTCTACAGAAAATTTAAAAGAAAAAACAACTATCAAGTCTTCATTGCTATCACTGAATATGTTACTGACATAAGAAAGCAGATCTAACGTTGATTACACAAGAAAAAGATACAAGAGTCAGTGTAATGTTTATGGTAGTATTTGTCTTTGACAATATCATATCTTGCTTATTTTTCCATTATCGTGTGCCAGTACTGTCTGTTAACTGTAACATTCTTTCTTTTTTCTTCTATGTTTCTTTCAGACAACATGGACATGCTGTGAATACATACCAATCTAGCATCTTTATCAGGAAAGGGTGTGGATGTGGTTGGGTGGATGCGGGTATGGATGTAAGTCTGTATCTTCTGCTCCTTCACACCTACACCCTTCTGATCAACTCGACGGACGCGAAGGCATTTTTATTCACAAGCCAACTAATACATTATATGTGGTTGATGCGTCTAATAGACGCATTCAAAATTTTTTACTCAATCAATCGTCGAATATTGGTATTACTGTATTATCTAATTTAGCGCTATCTCGTCGAATCTATGTTGATGATGACGAAAATGATTCTACCATCTATGTCACAAACTCCCATGACTCATTTTGCGCCCTCAAATGGGTTGCAGGAGCATCATCCGGTATACCATTAGGTGTTGGACTCGTCTACTGTCGAGGTATATCAGTTGACAAAGAAAAAAATGTCTATTTGGCCGAGATGATATTGAACACTGTAATGAAACGGTCACCTAAAATGAATATCAGTATGGTCATTGCTGGTCAACCAGGAGAATGTAATTCGACGAGTAAACATTTTTGTCGTCCTGAAGGTATCTTTGTGGATCAAACTAGTGGTGTCTTGTATGTGGCTGATAGCTTCAATAACAGTATTCAACAATGGTCGAAAAATGCACAAGAAGGGATCACAGTGGCTGGCTCAAGTAACGGTATTTTCTGAGATGATGCTGCATCGTTAGCCTCGCCTAACGATGTGTTCGTTGATACCGAGACTAGCGTGTTATATATCGCTGGTGGGGTGGGGTGTGGGTGTGGGTGTGGGTATGGATGTGGGGTGTGAGTGTGAGTGCAGGTGTGAACCTTGTATTCTTTAACACACCCACACCCACACCCACGCATTATAACAGAATGCTTGACCTCTATATACATTATAAATAAAGAGATTTTGTCAATGTTCATGCACATAGTCAAAAACAAAATGCTCGAAGGTGAAAATAAATATGAAATCGACTGATTGAATTAAATGATTTATCTATTAAGATTTTATAATTATTTTTGCAAAAATTGTACAACATCCATATTATATCTCACATGCATGCTAAGAGTTATTCTAGATATTCTGAAAACATCAATGCTAGAGACGTTTGTTCAGAGAAGTTATCAGTAAAAAAATAGCGTTAGAGACGTAATACAAAAAAAGACATTGACTGTCACTTCATGCATTTTCGTTAAAAAAGCTCGGAATTGAGGCAGTATTTTTTTTTGAAAACTACATCGTACAACCTGTCAACAACTTCTGAGGTTACACAATCTTTAATCAAAGTTTTTTCTGCGCATGCTAGAAGTTTTCAGAAAACTATCGATTTTACTTTTCGTTAGTGGCGTGATTGAGTATTCACAATCTCTAGATGAATGTTTTTTTTAAAGAGGAAGTTTTTGGAAATTCAGTCTTGCTGAAAATTTCACCATAGATGTTGTTCATGTCGTAGAGTCTATATTGAAGTTTTCAGATTTTTTTTCTTATGTTTAGAGAGATATTCGATAATTACTTTTTAGTTAATAATCAGATGAAAGAGCCCATAGTTTTACATATGTCTATGCTAAAAGCACTTGTTCATAGGATGGGGTGTGGGTGTGAGCGTGGATGTTCTTTACTTACACTGCACCCACACTCTCATTGCATAGCACATGTATAAAATTCATTTCGTTAATCATATACGTAGAAAGATAGGTTCAAGAAAAGAGAGTGAAATGCCCATTGAAGAACAACGAGAGACGTAATCTTAGTTTGAATACGTTCGAATATATCGGAATCTTTCAATAATTTTGTTTATTGTCCAATTTTATTTTTCTTGTTAAGCTCTGGGTGACAGTAGGTGAGAGTGTACTCATAAAAATGATATTTGATTCTTTTGTCTAAGATTTGTTGAAGAAAATAGGGCGGAGTGGGGTCTCATGAATGGAGAATGTTATGCTCTATACATCGATACTATCTTCGAATGAAACGACGGTCAGAGTGGGTGAGAGCGTATTTTACTAATACCCCTTCGACGTCGACCAAATCGAGTCATACTTCAGACATAATTATAGGTGTGCTTGAAAACAAAAATAAATTATTCTTGTAGAGCATTTATCATCTAAATGTAGGATTTTGTATTCTTCGCATATATACAACAATGAAAGAATGAGTATTATTTCTAAAAATGTTTCAGTTGAATTCGTTCGCCTCAATCGGACAATCTGGCCAAGCTACTACCGATGTAAAGATTCAAGGAAGAAATTTTCATTTAGAAGAGCTACCTACGAAAATTCGATGAAAATTGTTGAGATTATGGTATCTGGAAAACTAAGAATCCTCAAAAATCGGTTTTCTGAATTCCATCGAAAACGCATTGTAAATTAGTTCATCTAATAGAGTAAAATGAAAAGTCACTGAGCTCTCTATGATCTTTCATCATCGAGCTGTATTCTACGAAAAGCTGTGAAACCATTTATCAAGTACTTTCTGAGAAATCTGATATTTAATGAGGGTGACAGAATTCATCACAAGCATAATTTAAGAGTTCTGTGTACTAAACACATTTATTATCATCTATATATACGTTCTGTCTAATTGAACATAATTCTTATAATACGGTAGTAAAACAATAATAATTCTATTATGAATTCTGTTCATTGTAACAGAATGGTGTCAGAATTCTGATTTACTAGTAGCATTGCCGTTCATTACTTGTACATATTCTCGTAATTAAATCAAAATATCAGAAATCTATCAAGAACCTTGCTTTTCCATTAGAATTCATCTAAAATTCTGTTTCGCTAATAAGAATATGAAAACACATCCAAATTATTCTTATGTTTCATCTTATAGAAAACCCATACACGTATTCAATACAATCCTACGATAACCATATTGAAAGAATTTCAATAAATGTTTTTTGTTTGATAGAATATTCAAAAATTTCTCAGCTTTAACTATGGAAGAAAAATATTTATTGCGCGCTATAGAACATTTTTTCGATAATATAGCCCGCAACCTTTCATCTTAGTTGGTGGATCAGATCAGCAGGGTGAGAGTGAGGGTGAGGGTGTTGCTTCCGAAAATCAGGAAATAACAAAATATTTCTAGTGTGTTTTCAAATTTTTGTGTACGAGTCAAAAATGGCCCTCGCTGGTAGTCCTAGGATTAAGTATACAGTTTAATTGTGAAACAGCACTTCTAATATTTCAAATACTAAGTGTTTTGATTTTGGTTCATGCTTGATAATGATAATGATGGCTTTTTTCACTACTACGCACAACTTTTTTCGAACGAAGTCATATAATTATTCTCTTACCAGGTATAAAATCGCGATAACGATAGTTTTTCTCAGCTCTCATCTTTACTATCAAATTTAATCGATCAAGATCAATTCAAAATGAGATAAAAGGACAAAGAGAATAATAATTGCCTGCAATAAATTTCGAATACAATAAAAGTATAAATCGTAAACTGTGTTTTGCGTATACTCTTTATAACTGACTGTCATAGAGCGATTATGTGAATAAAAGCAACAAATGTCAAAGAAGCAAGCAAACGGTGGATCCAAATTTTTTTCTGTGTCCAAAGTATCTCCATTGGCTGAAAGTAAGTATAATCAGTGGAAATCGACCGTAATTCATTGAGTAGATTTCCTTGAAGTTCATTCTATATTTTCTAGGTAAACAACGAGCACCATGTCGACTGGATTGGGCTGAATCATCTTGGACAAGATGGATACAGATACCATTATTTTTGTGGGTGGCACCCATTCTCTCATTGGCTAATAAACGTAATCTTATTGAAAACGATCTTAATGATCTTTCTGTCAACGACCAATGCTCAGTCGTGTTGAACAGAGTAAATCAGTATAATTCTAAATGGCCAGGTACATGGCATGTATTCAGAGGAATATTTTATAAAGACTTTCTAACGAGTATATTTCTCGTTTTTCCATTCACAATAGCTCGTATATCACAGCCATTGCTTATTCGTGAACTGATTCTTTACATTAAAGATCGATCAGGATTACCTGCTTATTCTGGTTATCTATATGCTATTGCTCTTTGTATTGCTGTAATTCTACAAGCAGCCTGTCAACAACAGATTATCTTTCGAAATACACGCGCAGGAATGCGAGTTCGCAATGCATTATCAACTATTATTTATCAGCACTTGTTAACTATTAATACTGCAGCTCTTCACAAGACTACTGCTGCTCAGACGATTAATTTAGTATCAAATGATGCCAATAAATTTGCAGAATTAAGTATTTTTGTTCATGCCTTAGTGATGGTACCTCTGGAAGTTTTTGTAATATTTGGTCTATTGTGGTGGAACATCGGCCTACCAACTTTATTCGGTTATGCAGTGCTGATTTCAGTAATACCAATACAGTTCATTTTCAGTAGACAATTTAGTAAATACAGAAAAGCTACAATGGCATGTACGGATAAGCGTGTGCAAACGATCAATGAACTTGTTAACGGATGTCAAATTATTAAAATGTACAATTGGGAAAAAGCTATGGAGCAACGAGTACGTGAAACACGTCGACTTGAGCTTTCAAACATTCGTAAAGCGAGCAGTTTGAGAGTTCTTAACGTTGCTATATCCTTCGTAACAATACCTTTGGTTTCTCTTGCTACATTCGGAGGTAGTTGGCTCATGGGACACACTTTATTGCCAGAAAATATTTTCTCAACATTAGCCTTCTTCACCATGGTCCGACTTCCATTAACAATAACCATGCCATTCTTCATTGAAAAATTCAGTGAAGCTCGCATTTCCGCAAGACGAATCGATCAATTTATGCAACTCGATATGTTGTTGAACAAACGTGAGAAAGTGAAAAGCAAAAATGAAGATCATGCAATCATTATGGAAGACGCATCATTTTCTTGGAATGATAGTTCGTCTTTATTTTCACTCAATCTCAAAATCAAGAAGGGTAATTTGGTTGGAGTGAAAGGTCCCATTGGTTCTGGCAAGTCAACCTTACTAGCTGCTATTCTCGGTGAAATTAATCTTGTCAGTGGAAAGCTACAGCTGCAAACTAATTCGATTTCTTATGCTCCACAATCGGCATGGATATTTGCTGATACTATTCGAGGCAATATTCTTCTTGGCAAACCAATGGATGAAGAACGTTATAAGAACGTAATAAAGGCATGTTGTCTTGATCTTGATCTACAAAATTTTGGTGTGGTCGGTGATTTATTGATGATTGGTGACAAAGGTGTTAATTTGAGTGGAGGACAAAAGGCCCGAATATCGCTCGCTCGCGCACTTTACGCTGATGCTGACTTATATTTACTTGATGATCCGCTTGCTGCTGTTGATCCCAAGGTAGCAAAAAGCATTTTTGATCAATCCATCGGTCCACAAAGTTTCCTTCATGGAAAGACTCGAATATTGGTGACGCATCAGACACATTTTTTAGTTGAATCTGATCAAATGCTTCTTATGACCAATGGTCATATAGATGAATTACATATTGAACAACAACCTGCAATTGAGCCATCGAATGAAACGTCGGAAACAGATTCATCTAATGACAAGGAAACAGATTTTGTATTGAATACTAGTATAACAGATATTAACTCGATTGTAAAAAGTGAGACGTCAGTTGAAGGTTCCATCAATTGGAATGTTTGGTTAAAACTATTTACTTCACCACCGTTACGTTGGTTTGGCTTTTTACTTATGATTATTTTAATGTTCGGTAATGAAGCTTTGTATGACTTTGCAAATAGTTGGCTCGCTCTGTGGTCTAGCAAAGATGAAAGCGAACAACAATCATCATTTTATATTTATGTTTATCTTGGAGTTATATTTTCTATATTGATCGTTGCACTAATACGCGTACGATACATCATCTATATTATGTTGTGTGGTTCGACCTATTTTCATAATCGAATGCTCAAGGGTATTTTGTACACATCGTTACGTTTCTTTGAAAATAATCCAAGTGGACGAATATTGAATCGAGCAAGTAAAGATCAACAAGTAATCGATGAATCATTACCTCTAGCTTTAATTGATACTATGCAATATTTATTAATGACTCTTGGTTCTATTGTAATTATTGGAATAACCAATCCATGGGTGCTTCTCATTCTTATTCCTTTGGTTCCGACAATTTTGTGGCTTCGTCGATTTTACATGCGTTCGAGTCGTCAACTCAAACGGCTCGAAAGTGTAACACGTAGTCCTATGTATACATTGTTTTCAACGTCATTAGACGGACTTACTAGTATTCGTGCGTTTGATGTTCAAGGTGACTTTTTGAAAATGTTCATCGAAAGAATTGATGCAAATTCACGAGCTTACTTCATTCTCTCTGCCACTACGCATTGGTTCGGCTTACGACTTGATCTTACGGCATCGTTGCTCACATTGGTTACTTCAATTCTTGCAGTGGCGTTACGTCATCAAATCGATCCATCGACAGCAGCACTTAGTATAAGCTATTGCATTACTTTAACAGGTCTATTTCAATGGGCAATACGACAATCATCTGAAGCAGAAAATTTTATGACCAGTGCAGAACGCATTTATGAATATGGCCAATTAGTACGTGAAAGCCATCAAAATAATAACGATAGCAATGTTCTCATTCAACCAGACAATGATTGGCCTTCTCGTGGTATTATCGAATTTAAAGATTACACTTTTCGCTATCGACCAGAGCTGGATCCTGTACTAAAAAATCTCAATCTACGGATTGAATCCCAGGAAAAGATTGGAGTTATTGGTCGAACAGGTATGTATTACTTCAGTTTAAAATGTGGAGTATTGAAATGTGTGATTACTTTGTTGTTTTTTGTCCAGGTGCCGGGAAATCATCACTTATTCAAGCTCTCTTTCGACTTGTCGATCAATCGGCAATCAATGGAACCATACTGATCGATGGCATTGATATTGGACGTCTTTCACTCAATTATCTTCGTTCTCATCTTAGTGTTATTCCACAAGTGCCGATTCTCTTTTGTGGTACCCTTCGATACAATATAGATCCATTCGAGCAATTCTCAGATGAAGAATGTTTGGCAGTACTTGAAGCTGTTCAACTTAAAAAATTGGTACGAAATTATCCTGATGGACTCCATCTTTTGGTAGCTGAATCGGGAACTAATTTGAGTGCTGGTGAACGTCAACTGATTTGTGTAGCTCGAGCCATTCTAAAGAGGAGCAAAATATTGCTGATTGATGAAGCTACTGCACATGTTGACCATGCAACTGATATGATGATTCAAGAAGTGATTGCTGACAAGTTTCGTGATCGCACGATATTGACGATTGCACATCGATTGAACACTATTGCTAATAGTGATCGGATTCTTATGTTACAACAAGGAGAGGTTGCCTACTTCGATGTGCCTAGTAAAACGAATCTGATGTAATACGTTTTGAAAGTGTACGAGTAAAATCAACTAACTATATCAATAGTTGATATGCTTAATTAAATATAAAAGGCTAAATAAAAAAGATTATAAGATCGGAATAGGAATCAAATTTTCATATACTTAGGTGTATCCAAAAGTAATGTTGGAAGTATCTTATTTCCTTATAAGATGATCAAAAAAGATTCTTTTTTTAAAGAATGATAGAGCAAATGAAGCTCTATTTTTCTATATTATTTCATCACTCTCCAACTAGTATCATACTAATAAAATTTCGAGCAGAACTATCTTTGTATGAAATTTAACTTCAGTATTATGTGATGTTATCGTCCATTTCTATACAATTTTTGATTTTTTTTTTGTTCTTCTTTTTTTTCCCGTCTCTTCTGTCGCTTAGCCGTCCATCATATTCCATTAGTTGCGTGTACATATAGCTTATTCGTATACTTTCGAGAAAATCAAACGATACAATTCGAATTAAACTTAACACTTTAACTGCTCCTAATGAATACGGAAAACATTTGATTCTATATCAAAATGCGTAGTGCACTTAATATTGAAGCACGAGTTATTTATGAAGAACTATATTCTGTTCATGGTGATCAAGCTCCTGATCTTACGAGGGAAGGTCACCAACTGTTCAATCGCTTTTGCGTTGAAACCATTTGCATTATGCAGTTCCCAAAGAGTTATGAATACGCAGAAAATATTTTGGGCGGATAGCTTATTGTTATGAAAATAGTCCATTTGTAAGGTATGTTTTTGATGATTGCCGTGGTCCCCCTCAGGAACATGAAAAAAATTGATTTTCGAATTTCGATTTGAAACTTTACAGAGAAATACTTCTCAACGATAATAGTGTTTTCTGAAAGTTTTAGGCCTTTTGATTGTTTGTTTCACCAAATCTGCTACCTTATTTGAAGGATATAAAATACAAATTTCACAATAGCAGTGTCTAGTGATAGGAACACTAGAAAGATCTGAAATATTCATAAAAAGTTGTTCTCCTCGGGGCGTCTTTCTATGTAAAGTTTCAAGTCGAAATTCGAAAATCAATTTTTTTAATGTTCCTGGAGGGGACCCCAGGCACTCAATAAAATCCATACCTTGCAAATGGACTATTTTCGTAACAATAAGTTATCCGCCCAAAATATTTTCAGCGTATTTATATCTCTTTGGGAACTACATAACGCAAATGGTTTCAACGCAAAAGCGATTGAACAGTTGATGGCCTTCCCTCGTTAGAACAGTTGAAAGGTCAAGAAGAACATGAAGACGAAACACGACCTGGTAGACCTAATACTGAAGCAACTCCTGAAAATATCGAACAAGTCCGCCTTATTATTGAAGATGATCCTAGTGTTACAGTAGAGGAAGTGCAAGAGCAAACTAGTTTAAGCTACGGTACTACTTAGCGGATCATCACAGCCCATTTCCAACCTACCAAAATCACCGCTCGTTATTTGCCGAAGGAACTTACTAATTTTGAACGGGATGAACGAATTCGAATATGTCAACAAAATTTAGCAAAATTTAGAGGGTGTGGGTGTAGATGTGAGACAAGAAGATAGTACAAATGTCCACCCACACCCCACACTGATCCACCCTCCGAAAATGATTTTACTGAAATTAATAAATCTTTATCCCATTTGAAATATCTTGTATCTTGAATTGTACTTGGTAAATTCATAGCACCCATTAATTTTGCTAATCCAGCATATCTAACACCACATAAATGGCTACCAATTTGTGTGGTTATTGGTTTGTAGGTATGGGTGGGGATGTGGACGCTGGCTTCAGCCACACCGACACTAATTTGTTATATTGAGTAGAAAATGTAGTGTACGAAACCCTATTTTTGGCGTTCGCAATATGGGTTTCGTACAGAACCCGATTTATACGAAGCCTTAAATGGTTTCGAATTTGTTGCAAATCTCGAAACCCTTTTAGATTCCGTATGGTACCTTTTTTTCAGTGCACGTGTAATTTATAAAAAAGACAATCGTGTCACAGTCAAACTACAGATGAAAATAATATTCGTCAAGCCTTAACTGATTATTTTGTAAAAAATTCATTAGGAAGAGTGTTTTGTAACACACTTTATATATTTCTTGTTATTATTATTAATGGTTATTAAAAGTTCAAATGTTAATTATGTTGTTGTTGTTATTGTCGTACTACATGTTTTTTACCTTATTAATCTGCTTAATTATTATTTACTCTTCTGTTTTTCCTTAATTCAACGTACGTTTCGTGAATTTGATATTCTTAAGAACACATAATAATTGTTATGATTTTTGTTTTGTTTTGTTTTCTATCATAATAAATTATTCTTACAACTATTGTTTACGTTTAAATAGTTTGTTTCTATATCAAACATATTAAAAGGACTTTTTATACTTCAGGTTGTTAAATATAGGATAATCCATATTTAAGCCATAAGATTATCCATTTGATAGGATTAAATTGCATCCATTTTTTAAGTTTAACAACAAATTAAAATAACTTCTATGTAAATCGTATGTATAGGATACCGACATCTTTAAGTGCATCAAAAATTATTTTTAAGCAGACGACCTACATCAAAGAGGCATATCTTCCATCTTCATTGGTGATTTACATGCTTGGTATGAATGAGCATCGATTTAGAAAGAAATGAATATTCTTCAATTTTTAGTGTGATTGGGACCTAATGGAGCAGGAAAGGATAAAAAAGTCATTCGCTGATTTATTTTGAATTACTCTGTTTTAACAATGGAAGAAAGCTACTGTGAACGATATTTGTATTAATGCGTAGTGCATAGATGTGGAGGAGAGAAAAAAAATTATTGGCTAATAGCTGTCAGTCAATGAGAGAAGGATACTGGCAAACTGTTCGTTTACTTTATTTTGCTCAATTTAAAAAAATGTCTAAAATTTATTGTTCGTTGTAAATAGTTATTTGTTTCTGATTTCTACCTTTCAGAGTTTCAAGAATATTAATAACAAATTTTCTTTCAATACATTTCTTATAAGCTTATCAGTTATTGATTTTAAAAAATTCATTATTTAGAAACAAGCTAATTTAAATGAGTTTTTAAAATAAAACACAAACATGGGTGTGTGTATGTGTGTGTGAGTGTCTTTTCTATTCACCACACTCACACACTCACAATGATCTGAGGAACATTTTGGTGTACAAATAAGTGAGTTTGCACCTACGCTAAATCACGCGTTTCGATTATACTGTACACAACCGTTTTCCAGCATATTTCTTATTTTTAATTATTTTCTTTTTCGAGTTTCTCCAGAAGGAAAAGTCGTAGAATAGAAAATTTTACGCCATTAGATAGTCCATCTATCAAAGTATATTTGTCACTATGTTAATTTTTAAAAGCTGCACTTTCGATTTTTCGCTAAATGTCTGCCTGGATGTCCACTACACGATGGTTTTTTTATTCTAGCTTCGTGACTGTGTTTTGAATTAGAAGTAGAGGTAGTTGTAGAAACTAGAGAGTTATGCCTATCGGTTTACTTCTTCTGAGGCAATTTGATCTCTGCTTTCTTGCAGTTTTTTTCACGAATCTATGTAAACAGTCCTGACTGGTATCTTTTTGGATAGAAGAACAGATGATCTGCTCTTTTTGCTTATTAATTTCCTGTTTATCGCTCTGTTTGTTTGTTACTTTGTAGTTTAAATTTATTTATTATGTCCTCTACTCCTCGTGTTCTATTCTTCCACGGTCTTGAATCCGATTTCAATGGTCGGAAATCTCTCTATCTAGCTAAACATTTTCCTAATGCTTATACTCCTAACCTCAAGCCTTACTATTTAATTTCACTGTCTCTTTGGAAAGCGATTATAGCTATCTATCATTTCAAACCGGATATTATTGTTGGAAGTAGTTTCGGTGGATTTATAGCCATGCTTTACTTCAAACACAAGTGTGGAATGGAAACACAATTTTTTTTTGGCACCAGCAACAGGTCTTCTGTTTAAGAAGAGACTGTGGCTACCCAAAGATCACAGAAAAAACATTGTTATTGTGGTCGGGAGAAACGATACGACTGTACCATTAGACGGATTCGCGAAGTTACAACAATCATCACTAGATAACATACCGTTTCTAGTGGTGGAAGACGATCATCAACTAAATAAGTCAATGATCGAACAGGATCAACTAAAGAATTTAATCGATGTCAATTCTCAGTCTACGATGACCACTAATAAGATCAACAACTATTTCGATTGTATAAAACTATGGTTCAACTGTATGTCTTGCTTAGCTGTCTCATTTATTCGGGAGCCATTTACTCTTTATAACACAATTAAAAGGCTGCGTAGAATAAGAACAGAAATTATTGAAACAAACTAAAGACGAGTGTTATTTAACGAACAATTAACTCGTAGATGTTTAGAAGAATGCACTTTTTTCTTTGCCATTAAAGTTTTTTGAATATAAATATTCAACTACGAGAAACATAAGTAGAAAAAATTAATATTAGACCTTGTTCACAAAAGACAAGAAGTCAGAGGCGTGATGACGGCACGAGAACACTTCTACGTAAGTAATTCACTCCCTGATCTTAGAAGAATTGAATTTTATATGATACTAATGGCATTACGCAAAATTAAGATATCCTGTGTGAGTATTTCATCTGATCAAGGTTGTTCTGACGATACAAGTAAATCCATTCGATACTCATTACTTGACTTCATGCCGAAAATGAATTACAAAGCAGAGATGGAATCGGTTCAGGTTTTTCAACATTTGAACCGAAACAAAAAGGTTTTTTAAGAATGTTAAACTGAACCGAACCGAACCGAAAATGAAAGTTTTCAAACCTAACTGAAAAAGGATCTTTTCTAACCAAACCGAACCGAAAAACATTTTTTTTAGAAGTCCACTAAGGATAACTAAAACTAACTAATAGTTAGTTCGACTCGTTTGTCTTATTCCAAACGACTTTCATCTATTATAGGTAAATATATGTTTGTCCTTTTGTTTCATCATCATTGATTTTTAATTTATTCTTTTTCTAAATAGTTAAATTTTAAATATCAATCACAAAAAAAGAAAAAACAAATTGAGAAGAAACAAATATAGAAGCAAAAAACACATATTTACAAAATATTTCAAAAAGTTCCGAAATACCATTTGTTCTTGTTTAATTATGATGGACATTGATTTTACTATATTTTTGGAATGAATTTTGAAAAATAATATCATTAACTGTTTCGGGAGATAATCTTGAACGTTTTTTTGTTACAATATTTCCTGCCAAAGAAAATTCACGTTCAACAGCAGTACTAGTTGCCGGTACTGCAAAAACATGTTTGGCAATTTTTGCTAAACGTGGATATAATGTATGATGATGCTTTCAAAAGTGTGGTGGATTATACTCTTGATCAGCTGAAGAAGACGAGTTTGAGTTGCATGATTCGTTTAATTTATCTATTCCAAATTTTAAATAGTTGTCGATCTCTGATTGATGCATTGCAGCTGTTGATGTTGGTAAATCATTTTGTTCATCTTCTTGTTCATAATATTGCTGCATTATTCGAAGAGTTCTATTTACTTCATCAGATGTTTTTCTTGTCGATTTATTGTTGTTGCTCTTCAATTGTGTATCACTATCAAGTGTATCAAACATAATCATTTCTTGTTTTATGTATTTTAAACATGAATTTCGTTGATTATCAGTATTTTGTTTCATCTTTTCTAGTTCTTGAATTGAGAAATAAAGCCATAGGATGAATAGGATGATAATCAAACATAACTTCCATCAAAAATTTTCCACGTGTTCGAAAAAACATCATATCTACAGTGAAAAGGTAAGTAATATATATATTCCAGTCAAGGTCAGACAAATTAATAATTCTTACCTTTCTCATTTGATAATTTCGTATCATTTGACGTCAATTGTAAACTTGTTTTAAAACTTTCAATACCGGGTATAACGGCATGAATTGATGGTATATTTGTCGTTTGTAATCGTGTTGAAACTTTTTTCCACGGCTTTAAGAATTCAATGATTTTTTTCTAATAAAATAACATTAATCTTTTCTAAATGTTCTTTGTTCATATGTCGTTCATCAAATATTTCACAAAACGGCTGAAGTGATTTTAATAAAGCTTCAAGACAATCCGACATAGACAACCATCGAACAATTGTACATTGTACCAATCGTGGCGATGATTTATCTTCAAGAGTTTGATTGATATTGATCTGAAACAAAACCGAAAACAATTTTTTTTTATTTTTAAATTGAATGACTTGAGCTTTTGTGAAACTCTTACTAATTTTGCATATTTTACTAATTGTTTTGCAGCAACAATTAAATTAATAAGACGTTTAGCTTCAAATGGAATCTCTGATTCCAATATAATCAAATGATTTACTTTAACTGTCACTGAATTTTACGTATCATTTATCATCTTTTGTTGATGATGTTGTCTTCGTTGATCAGTTAGTGGACGTTGTTGTGCATCAAAAACATTATTATCATCATCTTCATCTGATTTTTCAGAATCACTCATCTTTTCTTCTTCATCTTCTTGAATTTGATCATTGAATTGTTGATTTTTCATTTTCTTTTTTTTTTATTTTGAAAAAACCTTCTCAAGAACATCGTTCACTCGATGAGCTGCACAAAACACCACCTCGTGCTCTTCCAATATTTTTCTTATATTGGATCCATGATCCGTAACCTAAACAATATCTCTCATATATGAAATGAGATTATAAATAGATAATCCTTCCTTTAATACTTGATAATTATAGAAAACATGACAGTTTTTTTTAGAATAGAATATAAGTTCAGCTTCTCCTACCTTCAACACATTCGGAGCTTTTTTATTTGGAGTATTAAATGGTATACAAAATATTTCGAAGGAATATAATGTCCAGTTGCCATCAATCCAATGAACTGTGCATCCTAAATATGATTGTTGACGATAAACATATGACCAAATGCCGGGTGATAACGCTAATGACCTTTCACGTGCAGCTTTTAAGGGGGCCCCCCTCAAAAACCAACTTTCTTATTTTTCATCCGATTTCAACCAAAATTTCAGAGGATGTTAGTCTAGACTAGGAGAGATTTTGATTAAAATATCTTCCCCAAATCTCCAATAAACTAATGAGTTATAGTCAGTTTATTGGTCAAAAGTACCCTGCACGCGGGCAAGTATTTCACAATAAGGATACGAGCTACCAAGCCCGGGTGGTTTTCAAGTTATAGAGTACCCTTAGCACTAGATCTTTCCAGGGCCCGATTTGTGAATTCCTCTTTTGGTGACATAAAAACCTTAGATATTTAGATATTTTATTTTTTAGTAGCAATTTGTTGGGCATGATTTCATGAATTTTATGAAAAAGGGTTTTTAAAAAATAAACAAAGGAAAATTCAAAAATCGGGCCCTGGAAGGATCTAGCGCTAAGGGTACTCTATAACTTGAAAACCACCCGGGCTTGGTAGCTCGTATCCTTATTGTGAAATACTTGCCCGCGTGCAGGGTACTTGTGACCAATAAACTGACTATAACTCATTCGTTTATTGGAGATTTGGGGAAGATATTTTAATCATAATCTCTCCTAATCTAGACTAACATCCTCTGAAATTTTGGTTGAAATCGGATGAAAAATAGCAAAGTTGGTTTTTGAGGGAGGGGCCTTTATAAAACTTGTTTTATTTGTTCACGTCCACTTGCAGCACTTAATGTTATTTGTTTCTATGCTATTTTTCTACATGATAAAACACCTTCAGATTTAGTTGGATCACAGGTATAACCTAAACGAACAGAAAACAAATTAATTATATTCTGATTATGCAAAGTTTTGGGTGCTACAGATACCTATACGAATAGCTTCTTCGATTATATTTTTGAATCCTGCATCTTCGACAACATTTAGTGGACGCGCATTTGAACATATCCATTCAGCTAACAAATTGGTCATTTTTTTTGTGTGATTTAAGACTTTTATTATTTGAAGAAGATGAAAATGATAATATTAAAGGTGATGATGTTGATGTAGTAATTGATTGTAAAGAATTAATTTCTGTTGATGTTATAAAATAAGTTTGACTAGAATTAAATCTATTACAAATCCGAATATGTTTATTCATGTTTCTGGTACTGGATGAATATGAATATGTTATATAACAATGCTTGCACGAAACAAATTTTTCAAATAGTTCACTTTTTTCTTCATCACGTTTTTGAGCAGTAATATCAAAACATTTCCAACAATCGGATTTTTTATCTTTCATATCAACAATCATCCAATTTTTTTTATTAAGTTTTAAGTTCGAACTAATTTTCTCAGCAGATAAAAACTGGAAAAAAACCGATACACTTGCTACATGAATCGATGAAAAAGATGAATTAGAAGATGAAGCATTTAATTGAAAATTTTCACAACTTGATGAAGAATCAAGTTCAATAACATCATGTATATTTAATAGGGGATAAATATTCCTATTGTGTTGAAGTTGATTTATTTAGCTATCACAAAACAAAAGTATCTAAATGTTTTTCTAAACTAAAGACATGATTGGTTTGTTTACGTTCTCTTTTCTTAGACGAAGAACAACAAGAAAATGTGTCAATATTGATATTGTTACTAAAGGACATCTTTTCTCGTTGTAGTTTCTTGGTTTACATGTCAATACACTGACTCAAACTGTATCAATTTAACTAGGAAACGAACTGAACAGACACCGAGATCAGTTTGAAAAGTTCCAAACCGAATCGAAACCGATATTGGTTTGAAAGTCGCCAACCAAACCGATCCTACCTCTGCTACGTATAGTTCTTTAGACAAAAGAGATAGAAACTGATTCTTTTTTGCTTTTGTATTTCTTAAATCTAAGAGGTTATTCACAAAAAACGTTCAATAGCGATGGAACCGATTTGGATTTTCCACAACCACTATTGACACTCGTCGGTCTACCAATTTCTACCCGATCATTCTGATATCCATATCCTACACCCACACCCGAATGTTAAAGGTTTTTTATGAATTAATAAACCAGTTTTTTTTATGAAACCAAAAAGATGTCAAATAGTAAAGCATCAGAGTAGTTGTCAGCGATCACGTCGCTCTCGCTTCTTTTCTTTTTTATTACACTTGTTTTTTGGAAAGAATGTTATTGCAGATAACATTCTTTTTTCTCTTTTCTCTCTGCTTCCATGTGTTATATATACATGTGTACTTTTTAGAGCAGTGATTCTTTTTTTCAAGTAGTTTTTTGTTTCATTGTGTAGTTTTTTATTTCTATTCAAATACATTTAATATTGGGCAGTTTCTCTTAACCTCTGCAGACGACGTACAGGCCATTCCATAGAGAAAGCTCACAGTAGTGTTACAGAAACTCGTACACATTCTTGAAGCACGGCAAGTTTCTTGATTTTAGGATAGCACGGGCTGCTATATTGCTCTTTTCAATGTTTAATGTGCGCACATATGTGTCATAGTCCACAATTTGTTTAAGTACATTCGTAGACTTTACATGTTCGAGCAAAATATTTCCGATGTCAGCATCGTGGAAGAACCATTCAAACGAAGGCATACGAAAGCAATCTTTTACCAAATCATTTCTCATCCAGATTAAATCAAGTCCACCTATCCTTCCAATCATGGTATAACCATGTGATTCAGCGACAATACGCAGTGCGCCTGCTGATGCACCCCATGCACATTGTTGAAATACGAATGTAAAATTATTAGGAACTGCATCAGAACAATTAACAGTTGGGTCTAATAGAGTTAAAGCATCTGTAATATGATAATTCGAATTGAATTCTGTTGTGAAAATTCGTGGTCGGTATCCCGCCTGTAAGATAGAACGCATTATCCATAAATCATGTGAATCCATATCGCACGAAATAAAATCAGGTTGTTTCGGAACATTGTTCTCTGCGAAAATCGATGCGATATTATTCGCAAAGAGATAATGTTTCTTTAAGTTTATCATATTATTTTCATAATGGTTATCTAGCAAAAGACCGCGCCAACCTTTTTCATATAACATTTGAGAATTGGCACCTGTTCGATTTTTGCTATAACCAGGTTCATTGAAACCAAATTCAACAAAATATTTGTTAGTATGTGAGATAACTTGAAAAATTTTCTGCAGATACAAATCTTGAGAGCCTTGTGAGTATGTTCCCGTCTGGTTTGTCCATAGATGCATATTGTATATCCAGTTAGGATCTGCAATGCACCGAGTAGTGTCCGATGGACCAGTACCCGATGATGAGTTTCCTTTTGCCAAAGTCAATAATAGTTGAGTTAAAGTGAACGGAAGGGTTTTACTTCTTGAATGAAGTAGTGATATAAAAACAATAATTGACATTATGATAATCATGGCGCCGAAAATAGTAGTGCGCATTAAGCGTGTGTTCTTCTGTCTCATTGAGAATCTAATTTACTGCACGAAATAATTGCACTTTTTAGAGGCTCAGTTGTTCACGAGTAGTATTTATTGAATTTCGGTTCAGTTTTTCCTAGAGTGAAAGAAGATGAAATGTGTGTGAAGATAGAAGTCATGCACTATTGTATTCAAAGTGTACTTGGATTGAAATCGATTGTCCTATTTTTTTTAAACCTAGCTAGTATCTTGCCATTGTTTGGGTCGTATACTGATATGAGTCTGCATACACGAATATGCACTAGCATCTTTATAATAAGCTACAATCTACATGAGGTGCTGAATATCTAGTGATCTGAAGGTGTCATGTAAGAAATCACAGCTTCATAGAATCCTGATCATGAATCTGTCTACTAGTACCCCAAGAAGAGAAAAAAAATGAAAAAGCATACAAAAAAACAAGAAACTTCGCGGTCATTTCTGCAATATAATCTGCTTTATAATTTCTCCGGGAAACGTTGATAAAAAAATAGACAGTCATTTCCGAGGGACATTCAAAATACGGCTAAATCTTACATCAATTCATACTTTAGTTATAACATTGTATTTTCTGTGCACCCAAATCTAATGCATCTAAATTTAGCGCATCTAAATCAGTATGTCCAAATCTATAGGTACATATAATAGACTCGGATCTCTCACATATGTCAAACTTAGAATTTGAATTCGTTTTTTCAAGAATTAAAAACTTTCCCCGCACCACTAAATTTTTATTTCTACGTCATGATGTGGAGCACGTAGTGCCCCGTAAAGAGTCAGTAGTGTCAAACTTGAAAGATGAACTCAATTATTGAAAAGCTATTTGAAGTATTCAATCACTCTGAGACGTTTTATGTATTACCTGAAATGCTACAGATGTTACCTGGGACGCTACAGAAATAACCTGAAATGCTTCAGTGATTATGCCAAGGTGTCATCTGCAACCGAACGGGTAGCATGTTCAAATAGCTCCGAAAAAGTTATAGTTAGCGGGGTCCAAACATGCCACACTTTAACTACTTGTGTACAGAAAGACGCTCAGGGTCGAAGCTCTTTGGAGGGGGAGGGACGCTTACCCGCACTGAATATTCATAGAAACATTGGATTGTTGAATATCTCAACTTCACCTATTCGAATAATTGAACATTTGAAGTCCAAATATTGTATATATGAATAATTGAACAAGTAACGCGACGCGATCGTCGCTAACCCTCTATTGAAAGGATTTAGGGTAGTTCATAATGTAAGATAAGAAGAGGAATGCTAGACGATTTATGTCAACATATGCATGGCAAACAGGAACATGAAATATGGCCACCTTAGTAACAATGTTACTAGGTTGAGTGAAACAAGTTACTACTACGTATTATCCATTTCTGAAAATAAGTCGCTTGGGCAGAATTCTTATAACTTTTGAAGGGAAAGTCATAGAGAGCTGCGGTTTTCACCGTTGGATAGAGAACATCAGGGCACATAAGTCTATGTAAAAACCGATGGGACAATCCATAAAAATACTCGTTATCTGTGTCATCAAATTTGGATGAAAATCACATAAAATAAGCCTATTCTTGAGATTTAACCTCAGTATACAACTGATTCACACATCAGATATACAGTAGACAGTGCCTCTGCATCATTTGAACTCAAAAAGATAAAATGTTGAAGTTGACCTTTTTGAAAGAGAAGGATTTCCTGTGAGAAAAAGGAAATTTCAGAGTTCTAAATTTGAAGCTTATTTTAGCGGTTTTCGACAAATTTATTAAAAAGTTATAAACACGTACCTTGTATAACAGATCCTTTTTTACATAGCCTTACGTTCCCTGATGTCCTCTATCCAACGGTGAAAATCCCAGGTCTCTATCGTTTTCCTTTCAAAAGTTATAAGAATTCTGCCCAAGCGACTTATTTTCAGAAATGGATAATAGTTAGCGTTAATAGTAATCTAATAGTGACTATTGATCTAGACGTGTCTGAATGCAAGACTCATCCTGTAGAGTTGGCCTGACCAAGGTTTTTGGTGTTGCGACAAATCGCTAATTTTTAAGAATTTCCTTTGCACGTAATGAAAACCTCACGAAAAATAGTCATTACACCATACTCAGGCCCCACGTGTTATGATCCGTGTTAATACACAAGATCACATTATCCCTTTTATATATCTTCTTCGTGTTCTCTTCTCTTTTTTCACATGTTTGTCTTTTCCTTGTTCTCCTCTCCTCTTCTCTTTGTTCTTCTTTTTGTCTTTTACTTATATGAGTGGCACGTCTTTCAGCAGTTTTCAGTTGATGTGTAAAATTATTATGTGTGTATCTTGAACCTGCAATAAAACAAGTTCTAAAACAACTAGAACTAAACATACAACTTAACACCACGTTAATGCCTTAACTTTACTGTTTACAAGTCTGAATGGTAAGAAGAGTAGATATTATTTATGCTTTTGTTCCTTCATGAATACAGTTTCTTCAAGAAAATAACTCAGCTACTACATGCTCTACTTATAGTGAAAAATGACATTTACAATCCACAAGGTTCCATTGGTCGACCATGTTAGGTTCCTTTTTCTTTTATTTAAAATAATATCACGAGAACCTAAACCTTTCACAAAAAAAATAGAAAAAAGGAAAAAAACAAATAATAACAAAAAAACAAATAGATCGACCTTAAATCACCATCATAAACATATATATATCACACACACAGTAAACACAACAACTATGTTATATGAGAGAGAGAGGAGAGAGAACAAGAAGAAGAAGAAGAAGGAGGATCATCCATCTATAATAGATGGCGATCGTGACACCTCCCCCCTTACAAAAGAACGAACGAAGAGAGAGAAAAAGAATAACAAGAAACTTAAAGGTTAACAATGTTACTGAACATATAACAGAAAATGTAAATAACGTAGAGAGAAGAAAAAAAATAGTGTTAAAGAGAAACATCTGACGGTATTACTTGTTCATATTGATCTTGTAATTGACTAGATTTGAGCCCCATGTATAATGTAGATTTCACAGTTAAGGTATATGATATCCAATTGTTTTAATATGTTTTTAACGATTCGAATACTTGTATTGCATGGTCTTGTAATTTCATAGTTGTAACGTTTTTTTTTTATGACGAATGCTGGATTTGTGATTACGTCATTTTCGAGCTAATAATGACTGGTTGCGACGATTTGTTGAAAATTTTGTACAGTTAATATTTAGTCCGTTGGGATCTTCTTGAGTTTGTATTGAGACGGGATCCAATGTTAGTTGATGACGATCATGTGGACCATGACCTGCCATGGAACCATATTGTGATGTTGATAACATAATAGAATACATAGATGACGTAACATAGTAATGATGATATATATGTGTATATATATATATATATATATATTTTTTTTAAATCTTACATGGACGTAATTGAGAAACATGCACTTGAAATATTTGTTGGTCATTTGGATCTTGAATCCAATATGTTGGATGTTGTTGTTTTATAATAGTCATTGGATGGGAGTATAATGCCGATAATTTTGATGGGAAACTTGTGAGACGTTTGAGTACTTGATCGCCAACATTGTAATAAATATCACGACGATTTTTATCAAAATTTTTTTTATAACGTTGTTGATTATTTTTCATATGTTGATGTGCTTGTTGTTGATAAAAATGTAGTGTTTGTTGAAGGAATTTAAAATAATCATTTGGTTTTGAAAATTCATAATTTTTTTGTGGTTTTTCTGGTGGTAATTTTGGGTCTCGACCAAATTGAAGTTGATATGGAGAAAATTCTGTTGTATTGTGGCGACCTGTATTATATGCAAACGTAATTGATTTCAAATGTAAATCCCAATTATTAATACATTGATCAGTTAATTTAGCTACTTGACGTTCAAAAGTTGAATTAAAACGTTCAATAGCACCATTTGTTTGAGGATGATAAGGGGTTGATTTGATATGATGACAGCCTAATAGTTGAGTAAATGCCGTCATTAATTGATTGTTAAAATGAGGTCCTTGATCGGATAAAATAGTACTAGGTACACCATAAATGCATATATAATGTTCATATAAAGCTTCAGCAGTTGTTTGAGCAGTTTGATTAGTTAATGGAATTGCAATAACCCATTTCGTAAAATAATCAGTAATAGCTAAAACATATTTATTTCCTGCAGGAGTAACTGGAAAAGGACCTGAATAATCAATGCCAATTAATTGGAATGGACCTTGAGGTGATTCTATAGAGTGTAATAAGCCAGCAGGTTTTGTACGATCAATATTAAATCTTTGACATAGCATGCAAGCTCGAACGTAATTTTGAATAGTAAGTTTCATGTTTGGCCACCAATATTTATCTTTTATTTTAAAATATGTTCGACGATAACCAAAATGTCCAGCCCAAGGACTATCATGATAAGCTTTTAATAATTGTTGGAACATTGATGAGGGAACATAGATTAATTTTTGTTTAAATATACCACGATTAATTATTTTATATAATATACCATTTTCTACTACATATGAGCAATTCATTGGATTTTTATTGATTTCTAACAATTTTTCTTGATATAATTTATCATCTTTTTGGGCTTTGGCAATAATAGAAACATCAAACTCATGACCGACCACTTTCTGCGATTGATCATCTGTTGATGATGTTATTACAGAAGTATGATTAATATCAATTGATTTTTGTGGATTAGTTTTTGCTTTTGCTTGGGCACGAGTGGTGACAGCACTAATAAGATTTGGAATAATTAAATTGTTGTTGTTTAATTGTGGTTTATTTTTTTCATTTTCTATTGCGGGTATAATACCAAAATCAGGTTCAAGAAAATCATCATCATCTTCCGTTTGACGAGGATACCTAGTTAAATAATCAGCAATACAGTTACATTTACCTGATACATGACGAATTTCTTTAATATTATATTGTTGTAATATTAATGATATACGATCAACTCGACGATTGTTTGATGGTTTTAAGTGCATATTACGTAAAGGACAATGATCCGTTTGAACAATAAATTCGCGACCTTGTAAATATAATTTCATACGTGTAACACAATAATAAATAGCCAATGCTTCTTTTTCAATTATTGGCCACTTGCGTTGAAGTTTTGGTAACATTTGAGAATAAAAATAAATATTTTTTCGTTCACCATTAATTTCTTGATATAGAATACCACCAATGCAATAATCTGATGCATCAGTTGCTAACATGAGAGGTGCATTTGGATCAGGATATGTTAAAAATAGTGGTTCAGATGTAATAGCTGTTTTTAATTGAGTAAAAGCTTCTCGTTGTGGTGTATCCCACTTAAATTTATATTTATTTTGCTTAGTTAAATTTGTAACTGCTAATATTGGTGCAGCTAATTTTGCATAATCTTTAATAAATTTGCGATACCACCCAATGGCACCTATAAAAGCATTTGCTTGATTTAATGTTGTTGGTTGTGGAATAGCTAAGATTTTTTCAATACGTTCTTGCAATGGTTTAATACATTGAATACTAATTGTATGTCCTAAATAATCAATAGTCATTTTTGCTAATTCACATTTTTGTGGATTAAGTTGAAATTTATGTTTGTTGAGAATGGCTAATACTTGATTTAAATGATCCATGTGTTGTACGAATGAATCAGAATAAATCAATATGTCATCCAGATAAACTAAACAAAATTTTTTGCATGGTAATAATAAATTTGACATGATTCGTTGAAATGATGGTGGACTGTTTTTTAAACCTTGTGCTAAAACGTTGAATTCGTAAAGTCCATGAATAGTAATAAAAGCCGTTTTAGGTTTATCTTCTTCACGAATAGGTATTTGAAAATACCCTGAACGAAGATCTAATTTTGTATAATATTTATGACCACCAACCATTTGTATAGCTTGTTCAAGGTTAGGTAGTGGGTAATTATCTTGAATAGTTATATTATTTAATTTACGATAATCAACAATAAATCGATATGAGCCATCACGTTTTTTAATTAATAAAACAGGCGCTGAGTATTGAGAATGTGATGCACGAATTTGTTTTTGCTTTAACATTTGTTGAATAATATCAAAAGTTGCATTTTGTTTATCAATAGTTTGCGGGTACGGTCGAGATGTTGTTGGTGGATTATCACCAGTACAAATAACATGTGGTGTTGATGTTTCAGCAATAGTTGTTTTTGATGTATCAAATAAGGATGAATGCTTGTTTAAAAGAGTCTTTAATTCAGTCGATTGTTGTTGATGTTTTATATGTGTAATTAAGGAATCAATATGTTGTTTGCCAAGTGGATTTAATGAATTGAGCTTATCATAATCAAAGTTATTGTTTGTATGTGGATCAAAAACAGTAGAAACATTATGAGATGATAAAGGTGTAACAATACCTATAATAATATTTTTATTTAAATAACAAGGCTTAGCTGTTGGATTATAAACAGAAATAAAAGCTGTGTGATTTTTTATAGAAATTAACGAATGTGGTATAATTAAACCTCGTATGTGAGTAATATGATAAGCAGGAGAAAATAATAATTGCCCAAAAGATACTTGTGAAATAATTTTTAATTGTTTTTCTTCATATGGATGTAAATATTCAGATTTTTTCGTACGACAAATAATTCGAATTTTTTCAGATTGATCTTCCATTGGTATTGTAATTTTTTGTGAGGCTGTATAAACTTGAACTTGTTTTTGTTTATTATTAAGATTAACTTTATATTTGTTAATATAGTCCATACCTAGAATACAATCTGTACATAAAGAATTAACAACACCAACTATTATATTAGTTTTTATATAATTTAATTCAATAAAAATTCTTACTGTACCAATAACTTCAAATGTTGTATGACCATCTGCCATGACATAATGCTGTTGATTAAAATGAATTGGTAAATGTTGAGTACGTTTTAATGCTATTCGATTAATGAAAGAATGTGTTGATCCAGAGTCAAACATAATTCGCATATAAATTTGATTGATTTTTGCATGAATAAATATTGGTGATGGATTTTGTATATAGTTGCAGGAATCGCCACCACCTTGCGGCGATTCCTCTATTGAAAATATGGACAATTACGAATATAATGATCATTTGCACCACATTTATAACATTGATATGGTGGTTTAGGTATATCATAATTATATTGATCTTGATTTGTTGTAACAGGTAGAGGTTGTTGAGACAATTTATTATTTTTATAATTATTTTTATAATTAGCTTTATAATATGTATTATTATAAGTTGATGGTTGAACTTGAGAATGTTGATTAACTTGTTGTGTATTAATATTTCGATTTGTTGGATTAATTGTTACTGATGTTGTAAAGTTTTCTTGTGTTGATTGGACTATGGTATTTTGTCTTTCATCTAATGATTTAAGTTCTTCCACCTTTTGTGCATATTCTAAAAATTTTTCAGAAGTTGTGGGATTTTGTAATAAAACATCAAAACGTAGAGAAGGTTTTAAACCATCTTTTAAATACTGTAATTTGTTAGCGTCATCCATCATGGGATTAGCCTCTACACATAATTTCATAATTTGAAAATAATAATGACTAACATCTTCATTGATACCTTGTTCATAATGACGTAGTCGATTAAAAGAAATATCTGCTTTACCAGAAGATTCAAATGTTTTTATTAATTTTTGTGTAAACGTTGTCCATGTTAGTATTAAATGTTTATTATCATAGAACCAATCACGTGCTTCGGCTTCTAAACATAAAGGTATATAAGATAATTTTTCTTCATCGGTCAGTTTTAATAAATGCATTTTTTCTTGAATGATTGTCAACCATTTGGATGGATTTTGCTTAGATTTGCCAGTAAATTTTGGTAAATTCTCTAAATTAACCATCATCATTTGGTTTCTAAGAGAATCTATAATACTGTCTTTAACATCGATAATTTCTTGTTGCTTCACATTTTCAGACGATGTAATGCATGGCATTGGTTGACCTTGATTTAATTCTTTATTTTTAAAATATCGAAGAAAATTTTTAATAAACGAATTAAATGTTGGCATTTGATCTTGTTCATTTATATACCAAACTAATGCTTCTTGAGTTAATATATCAGAAATTAAATCATATCGTTGACCAGCTGTAAGATGTAGAGTATCAAATTTTTTCATAATATCATATAACCAAAGGGTTGCATCACCATGGCCATCATATTTTTGTATTGTACGTAGTTGTAATTGAATAGAAGTTTGTTGACTTTGTTCATGTTGTAGGAAATGCTGATCATGTAAATCATGACCAAGCATATGTGTTTTTTGTTCCATTAAATTGGTATCGTTTTTATTTAAATCAATTGATGTTTGTATAGAGTCGAAATTAAGCTGTTCAGTGGTGTCCATCGTTAATAATTGTCGTTGGTCTTGTTTAAATGGTAATAATAAAGAATTAATAGATGTTTGTGTAAGATCGTTTGTAGATCGTGTTGATTTAATGTTCATAGATATTTGTTTGCCTGCCACGCGAATTTTTTATTATTTTTTTTTATTTAAAATAAAACACCGGCTAGTGTACCATTGTTAGGTTCCGTACTTTCTTTATTTAAAATAATATAGAAGAACCTAAACTGTTCACAAAAAGATGGAAAAAAGGAAAAAACAAATAATAACAAAAACAATAGATCGACCTTAGATCACCATCTATAACATATACACCACACACACAGTATACACAACAACAACAACTACTGGAAGAGAGAGAGAGAAGAGAAAGAAGAAGAATAAGAAGGAGGATCGTCCATCTATATAAGATATATAGATGGCGGATCCTAACAAGCATACTTCTGTCCATCTCTTTTGGTTACTTCGAAGGAAACCTTCGTAGTGAGTCAGCTGATCGAACATTACATGACAAAGTACTCTCCATGAGTAGACTTTTACTCACTTCGTTTGCTCGGTTGGATGGAAACATTGGGACGCGATGAGCTTCAGCATCATCACATAAGAAAGCAATATTACTCATCAGACAGGTGTTCGCCTCCTTTGTTCACTTCGCAGCAAAACTTGCGAGTGGATCAACGGAGCGAATATCACACGCCAAAGGTACGTTCAGCACGATACTTTTGTTTACCTCTGTTGTTGGCTTCGAAGAAAAAAAGGTGTGTTCGGCAGCTGATTGAATCTCACATGTAAAAGATACATTAGTCATCAGACTCCTGTTTACCTCTTTTGCGGACTGTGAAGCAGACCTCGCAATTTAGTGAGCTCAGGAAACATCAAACTACGAAGGAACGTTATTGAGGAGACTTGTATTCACATCTTTTGTTTACTTCGAAGCATGCCTTGCAAGTCGGTCTGCTGATCGAGCATCACATGACATGGAAATATTCATAAGAACACTGCTGTTCATCTCTTCTTCAGACTTCAACAGAAACCTTGAGACTTACTCAGCTGAGCGAACATGACATGTGAAAGGAAGGTTACTAATTAGGCGTCTATCCACGTCTTTTGCTCACGTCGAAGGAGAGCTTGCGACGCGATCAGATGGGCGAACATTACATGCGACGAGACCATGCATGAATATACTTCTGTGTGCCTGGTTTACTCACTTAAAAACAAGCCTTGCAACTCGATTAGATGATCGAAGATTGCATGCCAAAGGAACTTTCGTCAGCATACTTCCGTTCATCTCTTTTGCTCATTTCGAAGCAAATTTTACGGGTTGATTAGCTGAGCAACGATCACATGCCAAAGGAACGTTCACCACCAGATGTCAGTTTCCGTGTTTGATCATTGAGAAGCAAATCTTGTAACTCGGTACGAATATTGCAAATTGCATGCCAAAGGAAGATTAGTGATCAAAGTTCTGTTCTCCTGGTTTGTCCACTTCGAAGCAAACCTTGCAACTTCATTGTCTGTGGCGTACGTCACATAGGCAAAGGACATTATTGATAAGACTTTTGCTTGGATCTTTTACTTACTTAGAAGGAAATGTTGCAGTTTGGTCTAGGGAACTGCAAAATCACTTTTTTTAGTCCCGGTCCCGGTCCCGGTCCCGGTCAAATATTTTTTTTCAGTCCCGGTCCCGGTCCCGGTCCCGGTCAATTTTTTTTCCAGTCCCGGT